TATATATATATATATATATATATATAGCTTGTTCAAGTAGTAATTAGTCATTTTAAAGACTTTACCAATTCAACAACCAACGTGTAAGATAGCTTTACCTCAATATCCAAGATTATTTCATTTCAAGTCCCAAAGGTTAGCGCTTGATACCTAAAATTATGATTTTAGTATTCATTCGGTATTTACAATATTCTATGTTAAGATTTATGCTATTTTTTTCAAATGTTACTGACATAAGACAGATTCAGAGAATTTTTTTTGTAAACTTCTCAGTGTTTAATAAAAACTTCGACGCTATGTCGGACCGTTGTTGCATCAACAACATTTGAAACCAAAAGTTTTCCACTACGTCTACAAATATAGTAGTTTCGTAGTTCTATGGGCTACACTGTTGATCATAAACTAATATATTACTTTATTTGAGATCTGAAGTGTTCATTCTTGCCATTCTAATAACGTGCTTACTATTGAATAAGGCTCGGGCGTGGTGTAGTGACTAATGTATTGGACTGTGAGTCCGCTCAGGTGCTGCGTTTGCGTTATAAAAGTAACGGTTAAGTCTCACTACTTGATTAGAGTAACCCAAGTGCTGGCGTGGGGAGACTCTTTTTGATTAGCGGCCTTTCATCTAGACCAACGTTTCCCAAACTATGGGTCGCGACCCACTGGTGGGTCGCAAGAGTAATGTTAGTGGGTCGTAAAAAGTTATACTAGAATTACGCATTAGCTTCGATTAAACGCTGTCTGTCGAGATAGTTCAAGACTCGGGCTTTCATTTCCAGGCTGTTGTTGTATCAAGCAGTATGTAGTTTTGACGAGCTTAACGAATCAGGGTTAATCATGCTCTCAATTTAATCATTCGTCATCGTAAAAAGGAAATCAATTGATTGTTGATACTTATGTCAAAACAAAAGGTCTTGATTGGAATAAATGTGTCGGAATATGTACGAACGACGCACGGGCTATGTGTGGTAAAAACAGTGGTCTGGTGACCAGAATACTTGAACTTAATCCAAACGCATCATGGACTCACTGCAACCTTCACAGAGCAGCGTTAGTATCAAAATGTACATCTGATGATTTTAAAAATGTTTTGAACACTTCCATTAAAATAGTGAACTTAAAGTCAAAGCCATTGCAATCGCGCTTATTTGAGAAGTTGTGCGAAGAAATGGGAAGCAATCATAAATCACTTCTTCTGCACACAGAAGTACGTTGGCTCTCGAAGGGTAAAGTGCTAACAAGACTTACAGAACTCCGCGAAGAAGTTGCTATATTTCTGGAAGGTAAAAGCGATTTTGCGAGATATTTGCGCAACGAGGAATTTGTTCTAAGGCTCACGTATTTGGGACGGCTAGCGCAGATAGCCCTCGTGTAGCTTTGCGCGAAATTTAAAACAAACAAACAAACAATCACGTATTTGGCAGATATTTTTTTTCAAAACTAAACGAACAGAATGTGTACTTGCAAAGAGGCAGAAGGTATCAGTATATTCGCAGTTCATGAAAAACTGTATTGACAACCGAAATTATGACTGTTTTGAAACATTTCAAACCTTTGTAATGGAGAATGAAGCAAAAGTTGATGACGATATAATCATTGAGATATCTGAACTCAAAACTCTCTTTCAGCTTATTCAAGTGTTTTATTTCCTTGAAGAAATGAAAAATATCCAAGAGAAAAAATGGATTATGAACACCTTTGAGCCTGATATAACGAGTGGGATATCGACAAAAGCTGAGGAAGAACTTTTTGATTTATCTGAGGACGCTTTGTTAGAAATGAACTTTAACAGCAGAAAACTGATGCAGTTCTGGGTGTCTTTTCGAAAACCGTACTCAATCCTTTCCACTGAAGCTTTAAAGGTACTTCTCTCTTTCTCATCGTCATATCATTTTGAAGTTGGATTTTTAGCAATGGTAGGAATCAAAAACAAATTCCGAAATAAACTTCAATTGTCAAATTCCTTACGCCTGAAACTAACCTACATTGATGTTGATGTCAATGCCATTCTTGACAGTAACAAGAAACAAGCACATCCTTCACACACGCCTCGTTGTTAATCAATTAGATAGCATTTATAAGTTCTGGAAATGTTATTGAAAATACGTGAGTATGAATAAATAATATTTTTTTTATATTCTTTCATATGTTTTTGCCCAGTAAATTTGAGTGGGTCGCCATAAGCTGTGGTCATGAATAGTGGGTCGCGATTCTAAAAAGTTTGGGAACCCCTGATCTAGACTATAAGCTCAAATTTAAGACGTGTTGCTATAAATCAATAACATTAATAGCTATAATATATGACCTTCTTCTCCAATACTGTTGCCTTTTACTGCTTGCATTACATGTACCGTGATTATAATGTTACCTCTCCAGTCCTAGTGTTGTAGGCCCGGCATGGCCAGGTGGTTAAGGCGCTCGACTCGTAATCTGAGGGTCGCGTGTTCGAATCCCTGTCACACCAAACATGCTCGCCCTTTCAGCCGTGGGGGCGTTATAATGTGACGGTCAATCCCACTATTCGTTGGTAAAAGAGTAGCCCAAGAGTTGGCGGTGGGTGGTGATGACTAGCTGCCTTCCCTCTAGTCTTACACTGCTAAATTGGGGACGGCTAGCACAGATAGCACTCGTGTAGCTTTGCGCGAAATTCAAAAAACAAACAAACAAACAAACCTAGTGTTATATTGAAAATGAGAAATACAATTCTTATTTGAGATCTCTAGTTTAATCCATTTCAGGATTAAGATGTAAGGAATTCCAAGCGCGGTTTCTCTGTGCTTATTTTCTGTAAAATTTGTCATAGTTTAGATTGATATATATTTATAACTTATTGTTATTTTTTTTTGAGTGAAACTAAAGTAAATAGTTTTTCAGTATTAAGTCTAATGTTTAACCATGTGTCAAGCACAAACCTCATAAAACACCTATACAAAAACTCACACTTTTATGTACGTAAATACATGCACACTTATTTCTGTAAAAATAATACCTCTTCAATATTTGACAGGATTTTCACTCTTTCTTACAGAAAAAAATGAAGGCTTTGGTGATGTTTCTTATTATGGCTACAGCCTTAGTGAGTGAATCCTTCGCAGGTAATTGGAACTCCGGAGAGGGAGGTGGTGGTTATGAAGGTGGAGGTGGTTTTAGAGGTGGGGAAGGTTTTGGAGGCGGTCATGGAGGAAGTTTCGGTGGCAGCTTTGGCGGTGGAAGTTTTCATGGAAGCAGCTTTGGCGGAGGAAGTTTTCATGGAAGCAGCTTTGGCGGAGGGAGCAGTCATGGAAGCAGCTTTGGCGGAGGGAGCAGTCATGGAAGTGGAGGAGGATGGGAAGACGATACTTTTCTTGTGAAGAAAATTAAAAAGCCCTTCCCTGTCCCACAGCCTGTGCCAGTTCCACAAATAGTTCCTGTTCCAAAGTTCTTCAAAGTCTTCAAACACATAAGTCTTGCTCAGCCCGTTCATCAGCCTTTCATTATAAATAGAGTGAAGAAAATCCCTATTGGTGTCCCTGCCCTGAAGTTTATCCCTATACCTAAGCTGTTCCCATATCCCCAGCTGGTTGCTAAACCAATCCCAATTAGTGTTCCTAAACCTGTTATTGTCACCCAGCCCAAGTTTGTCCCTGTAAAGAAACTCGTTCCTGTACCAGTACCAGTTAGCATTCCCAAACCTGTAGTGGTCCCAGTTTACAAGAGTGTTCCTGTACCAGTGCCCAGTCCCGTGAAGAAGATAGTAAAGGTGGTCAAGCAAATTCCAGTTTACATCAAGAAACCAGTTCCTGTCTAGTAAGTATTTCCAGTTTTATGCACTTAATGTTCCAAATTTCCAGAGGAACTAGTTATATAAAATAGGTTCTGTTCAGCAACTTGACAGTTGAAAGTTCTGTATGACATGTCTTTTCTTCTTCTCTGCGATTTATTTTCAACATAGTCTAATAATTCACCAAACTGAAGATTACAAAAAAGTGTACGTTATCCTCATGTTACTCTGACTGAAATGTTTTACAAGGTGATAGCTCTTGTCGATAGAACTTTATGAATCTTCTTGTGATATGAACTACTAAATTTGTCGCAAGACATAACGGTTTCCCTTGTGTCAAACCACAAATAATCTTGACTTTGTAAACTAGTACTTTTTGTCATAATACAAGTTCATAATGCTTATCTCATATTACGAACGTCACTCTTCAGCTTGAGAGTACTTACGTTTAGATAAAACGCACTACCTGTAGTTCCATCTTATTACATTTTTTTCTCAGTATTCACCGCTTTTGTTGTCGGCGTAAATTCTGGAGGACACTAATAAGTACAAGATAGAATCTTAAACTTTGTTTTGGAGAAATTTTTTTTTTGTTCAAACTGTTTTACCTTCAAGACATTGATAGTTATTTTAGTACTATAGACAAATATAAAAAAAGGGTTTTCTGTGGACTCTGTAAAGTTGGTCTATTTATAATAGCTCACAAAACATTAAACGTGTACTAGATAACATATTGTGTTTTTAGGCCTAAGCATGGCGTAGCAGGTTCTATGGAACTAAGCATTGTGCTGTACAATCTTCAGCTTTATGGTTAAAATTTTATGTTATAAATAAGCTTTTTTTTGTCATTTAATGGTATCAAATGTATGATTTATTGAAAGTAAATTCCCTTTGGCATCATTTAAGTCTTTATATCACTTTAAAATATATGACAGCATGAAGGTTTTCAAGGATAAATACAGGTACGTTTCCACTAAACGTCATACGAGTTGTGGTTAGAAGTTTAAACGAATTAAGTGTTACATTTACTTATAACAATAATGTCGATCTTCCCATGTATCACCAGCGATAATCAGCTGTATTAAAGTTAAATGTAGTTCATAGTAACGTAATGCCATTTTATGGGACCTGTGTTTTTAACCAGTCATGATCAGCAATTATGCTTAGCTTTTTACAGAGTTGCGAAATTTATAATCTATTATAAGTTTAACAGTCTCTTGGCTTTTTATAATTAATTAAATGACAAAGTACTTTGCTTTTTTGAAGTTTGGTTACTTATTTAATTTGCCTCATAATCTATTAGTTTTATAGTTTATCCTTTCTGAGTAGCATTACTTTTAATTATTTGAATTATTGTTTGTTTTTTTTTCAATTTAATAGTTTTTTTTCTTGCTTATACTTGGCTGATTTTCTTGACTTGCTTGAACTCACAAGAATGATTATTTTGTCTTTGTTACTTTTAACGCTTTTCTCCTTAACATGTTATAGCAAAGCTTACTTTAAATACAAATTTGGGATTATATTTCAGCCAAGAAGAGGAACCCTGGTCAGGTGGGACTGGTGGTGGCTACGGAGGTGAAGACTGGTCCAGTGGCGGAGCGGGCTATGGAGGTGGAGAATGGAAGTCCAGCGGTGATGGGAGCTTTGGAGGTGGAGGCTGGAACACGGGTCAAATGTATCAAGACCGTAGCGGAAGCCTGCCAGAGCCACAAAATCAATAATTTGGCTAGATTTTAAGATGTTTTGTGTTTGAGTTTTAACCATATTTCGTAACATTGTATAAAAATAGCTTATAACTTCCAATGAGCACTTTTCAGCAAATCAGAAATTCATACAGAGCGCGTTTTGCCCATTTTGGCCAGTTAACCAAACTAGTTGAGGGTTACCAAAATCTACAGAAATGAACGTTTCTGAACGTATCTTTATAAATCAATTTGACAATATATAAGTATCACATTTACATACTTTGGAAAGAGACACGTGGGATTCATACAGAAAGGCTAAACTACTGGGTTTTTTTTTACATTTTTTTTCAAATCCATTAACATCCAGAGCGATAATTGTCAGAGCTGTGCTCACTCTCTTACTGTGTTTGTAAAGTGCTGGTACACTACTGACCGAGTTATGTGATTTTTTGTGTGTTAATTTAATTTA